CTGGGCTGGCGGCTACGGCGCCGCGCGGGTGGGTGGGATCGTGGCGGAGCTCTGGGCGCCCGGGCAGGGGCGAGAGAGCGCCATGGCGGCTGCTGTGGCTGCGGCATCCGGTGCCCGCGCCGCGGCGATGTGAGGAGGCCGCCTCTTCCCCACGACTGAGGAGGCTACAGCTGCCCGCCTGCCTTCCTCGCGGGCCGCGGCTCCGGCATGGCCGGGATCATTAAGAAGCAGATCCTGAAACACCTGTCCCGGTGAGAGCGCCAGCGGCCGTCCCGGGGCCCTTCCTGACCCCTTCCACCCTCTGGCTCCTTAACCTCCTGCTCGGGGCTCGGTGGCGCCCCCGCCTCAACTCGAGCCCTGACAACCTCCCCCCGCGCCCGCTGGCGCCGACCGTTGTCACCACTCCGTTCTTCCCTTGCCCTGGGCCCGCGGGGACCGGGCGCCGGAGTCCCCTCCCCTCCTCCCACTCCAACAGACCCCGGGACTCCTTTTCCGCCCTCTGTTGGCCTGCTGCGCCCGCCCTCAGCTCCCACACCCCCTGACGGTCCCCCGAGCCCCCAAGGAGCCCACCCTTTCCTGCCGGTCCCCTGCCTTTGGACCCGCGGGGCCTCTGCCCACCTTCAGACCCGCCGCACAGGCAACGCCACTGCCTCCCTCTCTTAGACCCTTTATCCCCCTGACCCTTCTAAGCCTTGTCACCCAGTCCTGAATAACCCAGGTGTCCCTCAGATTTCCAAGGCCGGACACTCGTTTTCTCTTTCCCAGAAGCTCTCAGCGCCTCCTCTTCTGTTTGACCCTGTTGCATCACCCCTGTAAGCCCTGCACCAGGACCGTTCCTTTGAGCTCCTTTCTCCCTCTTTTCCTTATCCTCATTACACAGACTAATTGAAGAAAGGTCATGAGAGTTGGGGATAAAGTTTCAGCAACCTTCCCTTTAAGAAGATGTGGGTTTTTGTTTTTTTCTGACAGCCTGTGAAAAGTACCTGCAAGGTTCACTTCTGCTTTGCAGCCTTTTTTTTAAAGCTCTATTATATCGCTCAATAATTTGGGTATGAAGGGTTGGCTGGCAAGAAAATTTTCAACGATAGTTGTGTTAAGATCGTAGATTGTCACACAAAAATTGGCAGCTAGCTTTTAACGTAGTTTGGCTCCACAGCAGGCATTGGTTTTCAGGAGGTAGGGGTTGTAGGGAGATACCAGTTGACATAGGATACCCAGGCTTTGTACTGAGATACAGGTCTTGTTATTGCATTTGGTAAGTGGTGTGTGGGACACTATTCCTGCCACTGCTTTACTCATTTTGTGGGTAACCCTCTGGCTTATTTGGTGTTACTTTGATCTTACACTTTAATTATCAATTGCATTTAGATACATCTTTCATTTAATCTCCACCTTACAAAACAAAAAGCAGATTGGATTCTGGAGCTGGAAAGTGCCTTTGTACCCTTTCTCAGAATTACCCAATATATTCCTTTTCAGATAGTGTTACCTTGGGTGTTTGGTGTAATGATTTGAAAGTAAGACTAAAGTAGGATTGGACAGAGAATCAGCAGATGAAAACTTTATTAATTTATGAATGGACATAGGATGTTAGGGCATATAGAGGTCATTTCTCCTCTCATAACTTTGTGTTTATGAGTGTAGGATTTTTCTTCCTTTTTTTTTTTTGGTGTATGTGTGTGTGTAGGTGTGTAGGGGGGATTGAATTCAGGGATGCTCTACCACTGAGCTACATCCCCAGCTCTTTATTATTATTTAAAATTTTTGAGACAGGGTCTTGCTAAGTTTACAAGGCTGGCCTAAACTTGAGATCCTTATTTCACAGCCTCCTTAGATGCTGGGATCACAATTGTGTGCCATTATGCCTGGCTTCTTTTTTGTTTGTTTGTTTCTTTGTGTGCGCGTGTGTGTGTGTGTGTGTTTGTGTGTGTGTGTTTGTGTGTGTGTGTGTGTATGTGTGTGTGTGGTGTTGGGGATTGAAACCAAGGCCTTGTGCATACAAGGCACTCACTCTACCAACCAAGCTGTATCCCTAGCTCTGTTTGTTTTGTTTTTTTGTGTTGTGGGTTGAATCTAGGGCCTTGAGCATGTTAAGCATACATTCTACCCCTGAGTTACATCCCCAGACCCCTCTTTTCTTTTTGAGACCAGGTCATGTGGTATTGTCCAGGTTTGCCTGGAACTGGGCTCAAGTGATCCTCTTAGATTTTGGGCTTTTTCTGATTTACTTTCTTCATCTCTGAAATGGGGCTAATAATAGTATCTACTTGGAAAGATTATTGCAAGGATCACATGAGTTAATATATGTAAGAATTTAGCATAAGTGCTCAGTAGAACATGAATTTTTTTGGGGGGGGGTCACAGCTTGTGTGACAATTTTTGTTTTAGTTGTCAATGGACCTTTAATTAATTAATTAATTAATATGTGGTACTGAGAATCTAATCCAGTGCCTCACAAGCACACTACTACTGAGCTACAACCCCAGCCCTTGTATGACAATTTGATACAGGCATACATAGGCCTTCTCTCTATAAAAACCCATATATATAGACAGGTAATTTTTTTAATGTATGTTTTGGGGAGGGGAAGTTAGGAACCCCTAAATCATATGCCTGAATCCCTCAAGACATCTTGAAATGGGTGAATAATCCCTGATCTGGTTCCGCTAATTTTGTGGCTGAGGAAACTAAAGCATTAAGAAGATAAGTGACTTGCCTAAGTTGCACAGGAAGCTAAGGTAGTGGGGATGGAACCCAATTTCCTAAAATTCTGGAAGTGCATGCATATTTTTTGTACTCTCTTTGAATATACAATTTTAAGGACTTTGACATGTATTTTATTTGTTTTTATGTGGTGCTGAGGATTGAACCCAATGCCTCACATGTGCTAGGCAAGTGCTCTACCACAGAGCTACACCCCAGTCCCTTAAAGAAAGTTTAATCGTATGTGCTGACACATTTGGTGCACCTTTGGAGAACATGTCTTTTTGTTTTAGATGAAATTGGAATTGTATGACAGACATTGAGAAATGGTTCTATTCTTTTGGTATTGGGCCAGGGACTGATGAGGTAGAGAGGTTATAGCTGCCGATTTATGGGCTCTAGGAAAAGGTATAAGAATATGAGTCTGGTTGGAGAGGCCAAACTCCTAGGGACTTTGAGTTTGTTTAGCTTGGAAAACTTGCCTAATTATGGGTGGCATTTGAATGTCTTTTATTTCTAACACACACTGCCTATGGCTCTGAGGCTTGCCAAACCTGATGAGGAGATAGAAGGGAAGGTTTACAGAGTTCCTGTGTTAAATAGATAGTAGGTGCTTGATAATTATTTATTGATGATGTCAGTGCCATTTGACCTGAAGGAAATGTCTTGCAGCAGAAAGGATATCCCAGTGATTCTCATTGAATTTTAGGCATTAAGTTTCACATAAGAAAGTGTTTTGTTGGAATGCGTTTTTATTTTATTTTTTGTTTTGAGGTTTGAACCCAGGGGTACTCTACCACTGAGCTCCATCCCCAGCCCCCTGTTTTCATTTTTTATTTTGAGACAAGGTCTTCCTAAGGTATCCATATTGGCCTCAAACTTGCCATCCTCCTGTCTCAGCCCCGCCGAATCTCTGAGATTACAGGCACACACCATTGGGTCTGGTGCATTCTCATTAGTGATAGAATATTTTGTTAAACAATATTTTTTGGGAAAAATATTGAAGATATTTTTCTTTTTTTAAAAAATATTTGTTTTTAGTTGTAGTTGGACACAATACCTTTATTTATTTATTTATATGTGGTGCTGAGGATCTAACCTAGGGCCTTGCACATGTTAGGCGAGCACTGTACTGCTGAGCCACAACCCCAGCTCCAAATATTAATGTCTTTTAAGGTTTTAACCTATAGTTTGGATGGCTGCTGTTCAGTGTGTATAGCTTTAATGCATAGTATTTCTTTACATAGACCAAAGAAAAATGCTTTACTTAGAAACACAAAGTAATCATTCATTTAAAAAATAGCTAAAATTGATTTTTCATCAAATTTGATTTTCTTGTTTTAGATTACCTTGGCTAATAACCTTTCATTATACAAGTAAGAAGATATATGACTGGTTGTAAAGTAAGTCAGAGAAATAAGGCTAATGGAAAGAGTGTGAGCTTTGAACTTGGACAAACCAGAATTCCATTCTAGCTCTGCCACTAATAAGCAGGCAACCTTTCTGAATCTTTTTTTTTTAATTAGCAAAAGATAAGAATAATAAGAAAGAATAACACATAGCTAACAAATTTTTTTTTTGAGGAAAAGTATTTATTACATTATCTAGCATGTAAATATGTGTTTAAGAAAAAGTAGCTATATAAGATGGCTAGACAGGTTAGGGACACTATCCCAGCATGGATGCAGAAAGCTAACTGGCTTTGGGAAACCCATCAAGAGTTTTTATTTTGTCTGTTCTCAGTACTGGGGATTGAATCTAGACTTTTGCATTGCTTGACAAGCTCTCTACCACTGAGCTACATCTCCAGCCCTTTTTAAATTTTATTTTGAGATTAGTTGTCCAGGCTGGCCTCAAACTTACAATCTTCCTGCCTCAGCCTCCTGAGTAGCTGGGATTATAGGTGTATACCACTATTCCTGGCTCAAAGTCTTAATTATTTATTCTAAATTACTGCAGAAAATGTGAGCCTGAGAGACATAGAAATGACTGAAGATGTGGTAGATATTTTCAAAAAAAGTTTTACATGAAATTCAGATCATAGGAGATTTCAGAATTCCTTTTGGAGAATATAAGAACCTGACTGTGAGCCTAGCCATCTCAGTCCCTGCCTCCACTCGTTGTTACTCATGATACTGAA